ACAAGGAAGAAAAGAAGATTGCAATTTCAGTTTCATGCTGACTTTAAAGATTAGTCATTTCTGAGCTTTCAGCAGTAAGGAAGGTTTAATTTCAGTGTTTTTTTTTTCTGAATGGCTGACTCTGCTCATTCTATCCTTCAGATCAGGCCACGGTGGGTCGCGTCACCAATTTGCAGGTGGTGGAGGCCCAAGGAGAGGTGGTTCGAGTCAGCTGGGTTGGAGTTCAAAATGCGACATCATACAGAATTCTCTGGAAGAGGACTGATGGTGAGATCTTAGAGTGAATTCAAAGTAAATGCTCACATAGGTGAGTGCAAGTGTTATTTCCTGTGGGAATGAAAAATCACCAGTGACATCCTTGATATCTCAATTCTCTTATTTGTCTTATTGAAAATCTAAAAATGCAAGGGTTTGATTTTTAGATAAATCACGCGAAGGTTTTGTGGGACCCGAATGTGAAACCGAGAGGACTTTTTGGTGGACATTTGAATATCAGGAGTATTGTTTCAAAGAATTAACAGTTGTCTTATTTACTATCTAATTCAAATTTGGACTTCCTTTGCATATCTGAAACGTGGTTGCATCAATTATCTTCTCCAAGTGTATTTATGATGCCTGGATATCAATGTTTTAGACGTGATAGGTCCTCGGGAAGGGGAGGGGGAGTGTTAATATATGTGAGAAATGGTATTAAGTGTGAACGTCTTGTGTTTAACTCTGTTAACGACTTGGAGTTTGTAGGGCTAAAAATTATTTTGTCTCCTCAAATGTAATTTATTGTCATATGCGTGTATAGACCCCCCTCAGTAAATGATGTATTTTATAAACAACTTACAGAAATTTTAAAGGAATGTAATCATAACAAAGAAATAATTCTTATGGGTGATTTTAACTTGAACTGGGAGGACAAAGTAACGAGGAAAAAACTCAAAACTATTGCTGATAAATATCTTGTAAGTCAGATAATTAAAGCACCCACAAGAATTGCTAAATCCTCTAAGACACAGTTAGACCTAATATTCACAAACAAACCTGAAAGGATAATTCAGAGTTATAATTTGATCACTGGGTTATCTTTTACTTTTACTTTACTTTTAGTCATTTAGCAGACGCTTTTATCCAAAGCGACTTACAAATAAGAAATAGTAATTAAAACTAAACTGAAACAGAAGTGAAACAAGTAGGAAAGAGGAGAAATAAAAAGCTATACTTATCTGATCACAATTTAACCTTGGTTGCTTAGCCCTTAACCTAGCCATGACTAATGAAACACAGGTTAACAAAGTTATCAACTCATTAAGAAATACTACATGTAGGGATGTTCATCAATTTGATACTAAGTTTCTTAAAACTCATAAAGATGCTTTAGCTCCTGTTATCTCTCATTTAATTAATTTATCATTTGAATATAGTGTTTTTCCTACTGCATGGAAGCAAGCCATTGTTTCTCCTATTTTTAAATCTGGGGATCATTTTGAGGTAAGCAACTATAGACCAATCAGCATATTGCCAGTAGTCTCAAAGGTTGCAGAAAAGGTAGTTCTTGAACAATTGACATCTTATCTTAATAAAGCTCAGGTTGGTTTACACTGTATGCAATTTGGTTTCAGAGTAAATCATTCTACTGAAACAGCTACTTTACATTTAACAGAGCAAATAAAATCTAAACTTGACAAAGGTGGAACAGTTGGTGCTATATTTTTAGATTTGCGCAAAGCTTTCGACACGGTTAATCACAACGTTCTTCTCTTTAAATTATCTAAGTTCCAATTTTCATCTGGGGCTTTGGCATGGATCTCATCATATTTATCAAATAGACAGCAATGTGTAAAAATTAAAGGGGTTCACTCCAATAACTTAAACTGTACAATGGGCGTACCCCAAGGATCAATATTAGGCCCTTTATTATTTAGTTTGTACATTAATGATCTCCCGCAGCAGTGCGAAGGGATACAAGTGCAAATGTATGCTGACGATACTGTTATTTTTACACATGCGAGAACAGCAGAGTTAGCAGCTGAAAAGCTAAATGTTGCTATGGAAAGTATTACACAGTGGTTAGAGCAATCGTGTCTTACCTTGAACACTGGTAAATTTTTTGGCTCTGATGGGATGTGTATAAGTATTACTGTATTGTATGTGTTAGTTATTTTGTCCTTATGTCTATCTGTGATTATGATTACCTGCCAAGGGACCGCGGATGAAAACTAGCCATTGGCTAAATTCGGTACAATGCATGAAATGGAAACATTTATGTTAAAATTGTACATGGTCCCTTTTCAAATAAAGTTTAATAAATAAATAAATAATCTTTCATTGTGGCTTGGCTAAAGATCAGATCAAATTTTTAATAGAGATGTTGCCTTATGAAAGTGCATTGATATCACTGTTTGTTGTATAGGGGGCCAGAGAGGGACAAGAGTAGAGGGTTTGCGTGTTTTGGACTCAACCCCAGGGGGGCTCCGTATAACCTGGAGAGCAGTGAGTGGAGCCAGCTCATATCGAATCTACTGGAGGTCCTCATAAGGTACACATAGTTATACAGGTACACATGTACTCGCACACACAAACCAGACTCGGCTAACATTATGATGTTATTATGCTTGCTTTGACTAGGTGAACCTGAATCAAGTCGTCAGATTAGTGCCGATGCAACTTCGTACACCCTCGATGGACTTCGTCCTGGTCTGAGCTACACTGTAAGATTGTCTGCTGTGGTGGACGGTCAAGAGACTGAAGCTACCACCATCAGAGCAACCACTGGTACACACGACACACTGCATCTCACATTTTATCTCTGTCATTCTCCAGCCTCTTATTCATTATTTCTGTCTGTTTTTTTTAGATGCCCTGCCACCTGTGACTGGTTTGAATGTGACAGACAGTACTGAGAATTCAGTCCTTTTAGGCTGGTCACCAGTAACAGGAGCCACAGGATATATTTTACGCTGGACAGAGGAAGAAGGTGATACTTCTAAAGGTTTAGGAACTGGAAGTGTGTGGTTTAAGGTTCAGAAGCACAATTATAGGTTGAATGCACTTTTATTCAGACACAGGAACGGGTCAGTCTGAAACGCTGCCTGGTACAGCCATTTCTTACCGTGTGATAGGTCTACGACTGGGTCGTCGGTACCATTTCACTGTGCAGCCCACCTTCCAAAACCAGGTTGGACCTGAGACCAGCGTGGCGGAACACACAGGTTACACAGTTTCTTTCTCTTTCTCTTCCAACTATAGACAAATTGAAATAGTTTTTTTTTTGAAAAACTACCCCCCTATCGATAATTAAATTTCATTTTGGTTTTAAATGAGAAAAGCATTGAATAGATATTACAAAAAAAAGTAGCTTTAGAAAGAAATATTTTGATTCAGCATTACATAAATAATGACAATAAATGTGTATTAATGTTACTTTAAAGGAATATTGAAATGAAATTATTTTAAAAAAAAAATGAAATGGTACTCTAAATATAAAAATAAAGTCGCCAGTAGCTGGCAGCAATTCACTTAATGAGTCTTAATAAGTGAGTCATTCAGTCATTCATTAAATGGAATTGTTAAAATGCCTGATTCATTCAGAAACTAAGCAAGTGACTGTCTTTATGAATTGATCACTGAATCATTGGCTCACTCGATTCATTCAAAAACATGCATTCATTCAGTAACGAAAGAACACTTCGTGTTGCTCGAAATGGCACAACAGTTCTGCTGTTTTTTTGTTTGGAACTGTTTTTGTTTGCGAAATTGAGCAGAACAATATTGTCAATATTGTGTCTAAAATTTAACACAATTAAAGTTATTGAGCTGTTATATAAAATTTATATCACTTTTGCAGTCATGCAGATATTTGTGGAATAACAGCAATCTTGCTTGTGTAGTATTGCTAAACTACAGTATATCATATGACATAAAATGAAGACAAAAACCCATACAAGGACATTTTTTGCCCTCATATCTTAAATTTTAGGGGCATACTGTATAACTGCATCCTCATATGCTAAATTACACAGTAAGTCATGGTCCTGCATCATGTTTGTCAGCAACTGCGTTCAATCTAAGATGACATACATGTCTTGGGCCTGGGCAGGGTGAAAAGTAATAATTTTGAAGCGTTATTTTTTCCAAATTTAATCACATCAAATTGACACGTTAAATTGACAGCCTAATATAAATGCATTTGTGCATAAACATAACAGATTTAATTTACCATTTATTTTTTAGTCTTATAAAGAAAATACAGATCTGACTCTTCCGGTAAAACCTTTTGTGTGAATTATTTCATGCAGTACTTTTGACTTTGAAGACAAATTACATGCCATTATACTGTTCAGTCACCAGGAGATTTTTCTCTCACTACATGCTCTCTCTGCTAGCAATTTTCGTTGGGGAAGTTACAGAGACTGACAGATGATCATAGTGCTTGATATTATGTCGTACTTTCGCACTATCAGTGTGCAATGAACGTAATTCCGTAATAAACGTTCCCATAGATGATTTGCACCAACTTTATTTTTACAAATCAAGAGTGTCTGTGGTGCTGATATGAATAAATGTTTGCATAAATGAATATATTAATTACAACATTGTTCTAATTCATCTTCTGCTGTATTCCTTGCTTAATATGTTTAATAAATCCATGTTTTAGTGTGTGTGGGAGGGCGTTTGGATGTTGTCTTCCTTGTCCCCGCGTCTCGTGATCGCTCTGGCCTGGTGAGACCTGTGTTGTCTCTACTCGCCAGTTCTGCTAGATCCTTTACCTCCATCGGACCCAGAGACTCCCAGGTAAAGTTCTTTTGGTACTATTGGCATGTTGTTCCAAATTTTTTTTTTAATAAACTTTTATGGCTCCAAAAAAAAAACATTGCTGTGAGAGAGTTCCCTCTTCTGCATGAGGCATTGAGCAGGTCAGTCTGAATGAAGTGCTTGTAATACCTGTTTACTCCAGATGGGGGTGGTGATGTACAGTGAAGATCCAAAAGTGCCTTCCTCCTCAATCGTCATAGCAACAATGAGACCGTTCTGCGGGATATTTTGACCACCCCATTCAATGACAGACCAGGAAATAATATAGGTCTGTTTGTGTTGGGTTTTTTCTTCTTTTTTTTCATGTTTGTGTACCATTAAGTACCTAGTATATGTCATATGTATGTGAAGCTGACACAAACATGTCCAGGTCGTGTTTCAAACAGTCTATGGTTTCAACCCAAAATCATATGGAGGATAAAAATTAGGAATTATGTATTGCATACTGTATATATTGCTTAAATAAAATTAAGACAATTTATTGTACCCTTACAGACCTACTTACTGTAGTGCAATAGTATTAAAACCCATCCAAAAACACTTCCAGTACAATAAATTACATATGAAACCTTTACAATTGACATATATTTAAGTTTTAATTGCAAGCTTGTATATATTTGACATTCAAGTGGCCTTATTATGTGAGTGTGCTGATATTTTCTGCTTTTATGTGTAGGCCAGGCAATGACATACGCACGTCATTTTTTGCTGAGCACGCAAGCAGGTCGTAGGTATGGTGTTCCCGGGGTGGTTGTCATTATCGCTGACGAGAAGTCAACCGATGATCTTAGCCAGCCCGCTGCTGCTGTTAGAGCCGATGGTAAGCCACACAAAATCAGCCCCAGCGCATTAATTTACACACTCACAAAACAAACCATCCCGGCTGCTCTGTCCCATGTCCATAAGAGTGACTTAGCGCTGTAAAAACTCTGTCCCTCAGGTGTGACAGTGTTGGCGGTAGGAATTGGACGCGCAGACTCTAGAGAGCTGCGTTTGGCAGTGACGGATGGCAGCACTCAGAATCTGCTCTATGCTCAAGACGCAAATCAGCTCTATGGTCTCCACCCCGACCTGGCAGACCTCCTCTGTGGCCTTGCACGAGGGACTAGTGTCACGGTCAGATCAAATCCATCCGTCTAGCTGTCATAAATGTTGTATCATCATTTATTTTTATTATGACGCTTGCTTGAGTCATGATACTGCAGAAGTTTATATATATATATATATATATTATGGTGGTTTCAAACCTCACTGATAGTCTTTATTGATAAGAAAAGAAGACAGTAAAGACTGATTTCGATTTGTTGTCTCCTTTTAGCCAGTGCCTTGTACTGTAGAGTGTCCAAAGGTAAGTGTGTACTGAAAAGACAAACATATACAGAAACACCAAGACATAATTACAGATTTGTGTTTACATATGTACATCTACTTGCACCTCACAAAAGATTGACCTGTTTCTTTGTTGCAGGGTGCTAAAGGGGAACCGGGTCAGAAGGTAATAATTGTTGTTGCATATAATAACTCAAAGTTGGTTTGTTGGCGTTGATATTTACTGTAATTTTCTGGTGAAATGTTTATACATTGTGTCTTTTTGTGTGTATAGGGTGAGAGGGCCAGAGATGGAGTGGATGGAAGAAAAGGCGAGCCTGTAAATTAATCTGCATTCACATTTAGCTCTGTTTGTTCATCTACACTATGGGATTAATTAATTATTGCTTAGAAACATTGTTTTTTATATCTTCAAGTAAATGTCTGTCTGATAGTGTGTGTGTGTGTTTGTGTGTGTGTGCATGTGTGTTTTTTAAATAGGGTCGTGATGGTTTACCCGGTCGTGAGGGCCCCAGAGGGCCAGAGGGGCCACCAGGTCAACCAGGCAGTGGTCTGGGAATGAGAGGAGAGAAAGGCGAGAGAGTAAGTGGCACTTAAATATGTATACACACATATGCACACAGATCAAAAATGTTGATATGCTCTCTCCTTCTCCATTTGTTTCCCTCCATCTTTTTCAGGGTTTCCCAGGATTGGATGGCAGTCCAGGTGTTCTAGGTCGTCCTGGTGCAGTTGGATTACCAGTAAGAATGAAATCATGAGTAATTTTATTAAATTGTACTGTTAAAACAGGTATTTGTGGATATATGCACATCCATATACATAGCATAATAATCAGGCCTGGATGCATGCTAAAAACTCTTAATCTCTTAGTTTATCTCTTAATTAATCTCTTAATTTAATCCTCTTTAGTGCAGTGCCACTTAAAATATTAAAGCTAAAAAGATCTCATGAATTGATTTATAACATGGGTTCATTGTCTGATGTTTTAGGGCAGTCAGGGATTACCAGGTGTTAGAGGAGACCCTGTGAGTACTCATTAACATACTGCACATGCATAGACACAAACATACACAAACTCTTATTAAATGTTTTGTCTTTTTTGTTTTACAGGGAGAACCAGGCATTCTAGGCCCTCAGGGAATAAAGGGAGAGAAAGGTGAAAGGGTAAGAGTGATAATAAAATGAATCTCTAACTTCTCTACTCTACGTCTTGATTTAGCATTTTATTTATTCAGTCACTTTTACAACATTTACAGCAAGAGCTTCAATTGTTTGGTTCAAGAAATGATAAGTTTTTAATATTTACTACAGGGGGAACCTGGATCTGCTGTTGGAGGAGGTTTACCGGGCCGCAAAGGAGAGCCAGGAATCCCAGGGATCCCTGTAAGAAACACAAGAAAATCATTTTCACCTGCACAATGACAAAAAAAAAGTTCATACATGTACAAATACTTCATGTCATCAAGTAAACAACAGGGTTATTACATTGCCCATTTTATGTTTTTCTGTCCTTTTAGGGCACTCCTGGTCGTCTAGGTGTGGATGGGGCGAAGGGAGAGCCAGGTGCACGAGGTCTGCCTGGACAGGATGGTCGTCCTGGGTTGCTAGGCACTGCTGGACTTTCTATTAAGGTCAGAATCCATTTCCTTTATTGCTAAAGGTGTCTCTAAATTTGCATTATGTACGCCCCTGTCCCTGGCCCTGTTTGACTGAAGGGTAGTTCGATGTGAACTCATGGCAGTGTAGACTAAAAGGGCATATTGAGGGTCTGAATGGCCATGTTGAAGACCACAACACTTATGTATATATGCATTTATGAGCTCACTTTAGGCATTGTATGAGGTTAGAGGTCAAAATATAAATAATCTAAAACATATGCACAGCAGTTAAATGAACCATTTGGTTCATTTAACTGCTGTGCATATGTTTTAGATTATTTATATTTTCAATATGTCAATACACCTGTCAATACACAAAGATAATCTCACCGCCTGTGTACGGTACAGGCCATATTTGTTATCTTATTTTAACTCAGCTATGAAAATATGTGAAAGTGCCACTGGCATTTTTATCTAGATCGATATTGTTATACAATAATAATAAATTCATTGTTTTCACTGTTTGAAGTTTCAGATATGTCTTCAGCCAATCATGTACCTGTCTGTTTTTGTGTTTCATTTCATTTTCCTGCAGGGTGAAAAAGGCAGCCCTGGTGAGAGGGTGAGTTGATATAAACTCTTTTTAAAAGAAGTTAGGGAAACCTTCTCAAAAAAAAAAAAAGTGAGAGAGAGAAAATAATTGACAGTATAACAATAAAACAGAGCAATTATTATGAAATAAGACATCAAATGGTGAGTAAACTACTATAATTTAGAGTAACGATAACCAAGCATGTTTAGGCTGATTCAGTAATATTAATATTAAATTATATTTTTGGATTTTAATAAACTCAATTAATTTAGATGTTACCACATGAAATATGTTTTTGTCTATTTTTCAGCATAGGTTATTAAACGTGCAGAAATATTATTGTATTGATTGCAAGTTGATAATAAGTGTAAGTTACATGGTCTTTCATATACCTTGAACCCAGAAACCATGTAAACATCTGATGGAACATAAATTTACACTGGTAAATAAAAATTTGCCTAATTTCAGAAGTTCACCACACACCACTGATATAAATGAAATGAATTTTTTTAATGCACTTCTAGGGAATTTAAAAGCAATAATCCGTTATTTCTTGATGTGGAGAAGCAAGTACTCTAACATTTCATTAAAACATCCCATGTTGTGTAAGGATTCAGTAAGAGCAAAGTAATCTAATGTACCGTGAGAACTCTCTGATGGCATACTAATACAATCTGTGAAGACAATCGGTCACATTTCGTGAACATAAATGTGTTCTTCTGTCTTATTCCGATTAACAGGGTCCTCCCGGAGTGGGCAGTGGGGTAGCTGCTAAAGGAGATGCTGGTGAACCTGTGAGTGCCTCCATTATTTATGACAAAGTGGCAGTGTAAATGGATGTTAATGTGTGTATATGTGTTTCTGTGTGAGTGCTGCTGTAAATTGGTTGTGTGTGTACTTCAATGTGTGTTTTTGAGTTTTTATCACATGCACTGAATGGTATTTGTGTGTATTTTCAGGGAAGTCCTGGACCGTCTGGTCCTCAGGGCCCACGAGGACTGACTGGACAAAAAGGAGCCAAAGGAGAATCTGTATGTTTTTTTCTGCCATTATTTTTTTTTACATTGCTTGTAAGCAGTGTTGGGGGTAATGCATTACAAGTAACGCGAGTTACGTAATCAGATTACTTTTCTAAAGTAACTAGTAAAGTAATGCATTACTTTTTTAATTTACAAGAAAATATCTAAGTTACTTTTTCAAAAAAGTAACGCCAGTTACTTTGTTTTCCCATTTATTGACTGACAAGTCTCCTGTCCCCATATTGGGAGAAATCGGAAGTACAGAGGCGTTGTGTGAACATGATGTAGTTCTAGACTAAATGTGAAGGATCATTTCATAATGTGGAGATTGGGAAGAAGAAGAGAGAGAAAGAAAGAAAGATGTGGGGGGGAGGGAGATGAAAAATACTTCACATACTGTATGCTACGGAGGTTAATAAGTCTGCAATGGCTGCATCTGAGACACTTGATGTTGAAAAATGCTGAGGCATATATAATCAGTGTTGGGGGTAACTCATTACAAGTAATGCGAGTTACGTAATCAGATTACTTTTTTCAAGTAACTAGTAAAGTAACGCATTACTTTTTTAATTTACAAGAAAATATCTGAGTTACTTTTTCAAAAAAGTAACTCCAGTTACTTTGTTTTCCCATTTATTGACTGACAAGTCTCCTGTCCCCATATTGGGAGAAATCGGAAGTACAGAGGCGTTGTGTGAACATGATGTAGTTCTAGACTAAATGTGAATGTGCATTAATTCATCCCACTCACAAAAAACAGATTTAGTATTCATCAAAATGAATTAAAACAGTGAAATGCAAACTCAAATAATTAAATGTTAAATAACACAAATGTAACTTTTTTTAGGGAGTAACGCAATATTGTAATGCATTACTTTTAAAAGTAACTTTCCCCAACACTGCTTGTAAGCTATTTTTTGTTTGTATTTTGTCAAATGTGTGCATTGCTTGTCCATGAATGCATTTTCTTAGCCTGGCCTGTTTGTGTGATTGTGTTGCAGGGTGAGAGTATTGAGGGTAAACCAGGCACCCAAGGAAACACCGGAGACCCTGGTGATCGGGTATAAAATGCTTTCACTAATATATTTCATGCTCACTCTAACCTTCCTCCTCATTCTTCTTTTATTCGTGCATTTTTGTTTCAGGGTCCCCGAGGACCTCCTGGGGAAATTGGAAGTAAGGTAAAGAAAAGAAGTCAGTGTATGACTTTATTGTGACTTGTGTCATCAAGGTACAATGAACAAACTTTCTGAATGCATAATCTATGAATCAGTTGATGAAGTTTTGTTGTTTATTGTTTTTTTCAGGGTGATCGAGGACAGACTGGACCACCTGGTTCAGATGGAGCCAAGGTGACTATTTGCCTATGCATGATCTGAAGCATTTCTGTATGAATGTATCTAGATTTGTACTATATCCCTTGTGTTCTTTAGTGTTTATCCAGGCTTATTTTGAAGCATTTTAAGGTGTGCTAGTTTGTTTGAGTAATTTTTAACAATGATTGTACAACAGTTTAACTATTTAAATGAGTTTAATTTTGTTTTGATATCATCCTTTGTATGATTCTATTTTTTTTTAGGGAGACAGAGGCCTTCCAGGTCAGGCAGGAGACAAGGTGTGCCCCTAAGCTACATAAAACATTGATGTATATTCTTATTAGAGAGATGTGAGTAATGCTGTGCTTGTTTATGTCTGTTTTTTTTATGCTAGGGAGATAAAGGTTCAGCAGGCCCCCCTGGACCTCAAGGACTGAGGGTGAGTGGCTGCACAAGCCATGATAAGTCACAAGCCATGTGAAAATGCACGAGTGTACATGCATGTTGTAAATTATTTATATGTGCCTTCAGGGATTGCCAGGGAGCAGTGGCTTTCCTGGAGAGAATGTAAGTTAAGATTTCAGCTTAACAAACAGCATTATTCTCAGATATCTACTTCATTTTGTTTTGTGCTTGTACTGTGTGTATGTGTGTGTATATATATATATATATATATATA